GAGCTGGCATAGCTGCATCGGACATATGAGAACAGTAACATCACTAGTGTGGACGCAGTAATATCTATTTATAGAATTGGTTTGGATATAAACCATAAAATGCCAAAAATGAGAAACAAAAACAAACTTCAAACATGCCTTGTAATTTTCAATACACAGCTCGGCAGTTTCCCGAATGTGGCGCAGCTTTGCCTCATATTCCTTGCTTATAGCCGATATATTTGAGGTAGTATCGACAGCTCGAGGCGCAGGAATCGGTGACAATTGTGCATCGGATTCAGTGCCGACAGTGTCTTCCGGTGCCAGGTATGTCTTCGTATCATCCAAACCACTGTCTGCGTTCATGTCTTCGTCTTCGATATCTCGAACACGAGGCTGTTTTGCTTCAGGTTCTTCCAAGTCCGGCGTTTTATACTGCTCTGTGCCAAGAGTAGCAGTAGCAGAAGCTGGTAGCTGTTCATGGCTTTCCCCAGTTTTTTCATCCAAATCAGGTATTTTGAATGTGGCCGCAAACAAATCTTGTATCTCTCGTTGCATGCCACTTATTTTATCCTCCTGTTTCTGGATCCGCTCATCTCTTTTCTGGATCTGAAAAGTGCCATTTGTTTTTTCAGTTATATGCACACGTTTATGCTTTCCTGATACTCTGGGTGTCTTTGGGGTCATACAAGAAAATGAAATTCTTCATGATGGGCTGGGCATTTTTCTTGGCCTGCTGACTACCGATGGACGTTACGTATCAGTAAGTGTTACTCCGAGAAAACTAACAACCACACGGGTGGCTTCTGGAGTTGGCGCACACACACCGAACAGATGGCGCGTATCAACTGGGGATATGCAACCCAGTGTTGAGAGCTTGGCTTAAATGTATCTGGCTTTTGGGGGCATTCCAGTAAAACCATTATACCTCAATCGATTGCCCTGGCGATTTTCGTGTTTTCGGTAAATTTGCAAATGACTAAATTTAGTTATTGAGCATTTTGCTCAAAATGCAAATAATTTCACACGTCTTTTCAGTACATGGCGGGAAGGAGGCTGTACTGACGATTCCCACTCCTACCGGCATGCATTGTTCGGTCTGTGCATACAGCTAAGGATGAAACACAGAATGCATCGTGAAATGTCTTATTGTACATGACACCTAATTCCAATCTTCCTACCCCATTATTCTAAAGCATAGATTATAAGTGAGATGAAACAGTTCCGCAAACAAAATAAAAGTTCCGGCTCTCATCCGTATGAATTCTGAAGCAGTGATATGAGAAAAAGAGGGACGAATTGAGGGTTAAACCTGAAGCTGTGCATCCTGGAGTTGCGCTTGGCTGTTCAGCAGATTCAGCTGATTAGCCTGTAAACTCTTCTGCAGTTTGATAATATTGTAATCGTTCTCTTGCAGCAGTTCAAAGCTTCTTCTCAGTGCTTCAGCATTTCGCAGCTGCAGCTCCTGCTCCTCTTTGATCCTCTCGATCTGCAAAACTCATAATCTCGACTCACTGAAAACTAACAATAACATCTTTAAGCCTACTTAATTTTTCGCCCTCAGCACAACTAGCATTGGTGAGGTTAAATTTTATGCAATATTCGATTCGATATTTATCGTTAAATCTTAGAGAACAACGAGAGAATGCAAGAGTGATGGGCGAGCGAGAAAGAGGGGTGGCAAATAAGAAGTCAAAATGGATAACTTAAACTCAGTAAGTTGGCAGAAATCTTAAGGAACGTAACAAACTATACACAGAATTCTTCAGCCTGGATGTGAGGCAAATTTACCTCACCTGCAGTGAGGTAAATTTTAACACGTACTATTAGCTAATCGTATAGAAAATCCCACACAGAAATTTTTGGCAGGAGCTTTTAGATGTAAAATAACCTGTAGCTTCGCAAGGTGCCGGCAACTCGAATTTGCATGAAGAAAAATTCTAGATAAAATGTTTCGCTAGAAGCTGATTTCACTAAAACTTACCTCATTTTTACACTGCTCACTCTTTGCGTAATTGGCATTGACTTCGGCAACTTTTTCTTTGTACTGCAGCATCTGTTGCACGGTCATAATTTCCATTGAATTCGATCGAATTCGCTGGAAAAAAAAAGGCAAAAGTGGACGACTAAAACGATTTCTTAGTTTTCCCTGGTATCTCACAAATTTAATTATCGATAAAGTTACAAACAGTTTTTCCTGATTTTCAAACATCTGTGATAATTATATAGCATCGGATCCCTTAATAAGTGTCCTTCGCCTCATCTGCCTTTATTTATCCTTTAATTAATATATCTATATTTTCCGTCCCCTAACTTTCGAAAAATTCCTTTTATCTAATTCTTATTCTCATTCTTCTCCCGATTCAAATCTAATCCTTCTCTCCCATACTTTGCCCAAATTACCTCCACTGCTGAGCTTTGCCGCATCATATCTTCACTAGTCTTATTGTTCCTACTTCATTACTGTTAGTACCTTTCTAACCTTCCTTAACTCACAGTTATCATTTTTCCGCTTAATCTTTTTGCTTTCCACTACCATTCACCATCTTGTAGGTGAATTGGCTGCAGTTGTCGCTGAGTTTTATGTTTCCACGGACATTTCTCAGCTTAATCTACAACGTTTTCTATCCAATGCCCACATTATAGCTGCAGTCAGTAATTTGGGGCAAATTTACCTCACCTGCAGTGAGGTAAAAATTCCTCTAAAAAACTTGCGAAAAATCTCGAAAGTATAATGCACCAGAAGCAAACGCTGCAGTGAACGGATCACTTCGATCAGTTTCTTCTTCTCATTGTTCCAACTCCTTCGCTTCCGGGTAAATTCGTTCTGCATGTTGTGCATCTGCTCAGCAGCAAGTTTTTGATTCTGCGACACGTGCGCACACTGCGATAACGCCTCCAGAAATCGACGTTCCAGGGCAACCAGCAAACTTTTTACTTGTGACTCGCTTTCAATATCTTCCAAGAATAGCGTCATCTCTTGATTTTGTGCTCGAATTTTGTCCAGTTCCGCTTGCCAGAATTCGTTTTGACTTGTCAGAACTTTAATCACTTCCTGAAAAGATGCTTATCTGAAAAGAGAAGTGTTCAAAGCGAAGTGGTGATATTAAACACGTATTAAAGATATCTCAAGATAGTCAAAGCTTTGTTCAGAGACGGAACGAACATAAAGACCGCCAACATGCTGACCACCAAGCAGTGCAGCATTGGTCAAAACAACTACAGAAACCGTTAGTATCCCAAAGATTTAGGCGAAGTTATCAAATCTGGACTTCAGAATAATTTTAGAATAGCCATAAGTAAGCTAGTCACGGCTAAG